TGAAAGCAGTGAGAACAACTGCTTTACTCTATATTGCAGGATCAGTGTCTGTAAAGAACAGTGTAGGAAGATACATGATGATGGATAAAACTTCAATATGTAATTAAGTAAACAAACATTTCTGTTTTGTTTTGCAAAAACAAATCTATAATTAAGTAAACAAACTTTATTGTTTGTTTGTTTTGCAGTACAGCAAACGTTTCAATTGCTGCCACATACTAAAAATATAAATAGAAACTTTTACAGATAAAACTGGCACATTTGAAAAAATACTCAAAGTTGTAAAATGGAATGAAAACTCCTTGAAACCTGTACACAACAAATGAGGTACTTGATAATCTTTTAAAGAATTCTGAAGTTAATTATTTGCTGAAAGACCTTTATGCAAAATTTACATGCATTTCTTTAAATTAAAATATTAAGTACATAAAGATTAAATTTATAATTTATTAATGTACCTATAAGGCACGCAAGGGTAAAACAAAACTAAAAAACCAAAAAACTTTGAACTTGAAGATCTCAAAGCCAATAAAAGTACTTAAAAACGCTTACTTTATTGGCTTTGGTTCCGTAAAGGCCTATACATAGTCTAAAGCACTAACACTGTCTTTAAGTAAATGAGACTATATTCCATTCTCTTCTGATTAGGTATATACATTACATAATATAAATAATAGCAAAATACTTTGTTATCATACAGGTGTTAATGGACATGATCCTACTTATTACACCTTGTTGCTTCAGTCTCTGTGCGTCAGAACTTAGCAACTCATTAACCAGAGAATTACTCTGTACAATACTTCACAAACATATTGAGCTTATGCTGACAAGATTGTTTTATACACTTATTTCCTTTCCTAACAGTATCTATCAGGCTTTGGCTCTGAAAGAAAGTTTGGCAGAATGTCATACACATAAGAATAATTTTCTACGGTCTGTAACCTTATAAAAGATGTATCTGGGAGCAAGAGTGGGGATGATGGGAGAAGATGGGATTCCCTCTTTCACATCTGGAGATGCCTCGGGATCTGCACCCTAAAGGTATGGCTCCACAGCAACATATGCTGATTTAACTGCTGCTTTACATGTTTGTGCCATTCCTCCTTAACCTGGCAGACTGCGTGTTTCTGTCCTCTTGCTCATTCTGGCTCTGGCAGTATTTCAGTTGTCTCTAATTCTTTTTACTAAATGGATCATCGTTTTGTTGGGGCAGTTTTCTACTAGTTTAGCACAGTGTAATATCGAAGTGCAGTGTCAGGTTAATGTCAGAATAACTGCAAGGGAGAGGATGCAACACGGGCAGAAGGGACTCCATCAACTAGCAATTTAGCTTGGGATGCCACAGACTAACTTACTGAAATTACTCCTCTTCAAAAATACTTGCTATGGAATTGCAGCTTATTCTTTATAAGAAAATACTTTTTATAGAATTGCAGCAAAGGAATCCTGAGAGATGGCTTTAAATCTGTAAGGATATCAGGTGGAAATAGAGATACCTATAAAAGACGATTTCCGACTCACTTTTTCTGTTGCTTGATTTGATACATCGAATTTTTATATGCCACAATCATTTTTATTGATGACTACTCTGAAAATAATTCATACTTAAAAAATGCTCTTTCTCCACAGTGCCTAATGTTTTTGCAATACTGTGTGGTAAATACGCAAAACAAAGGTAAAATAAATGAACCTGTCAGATTCCAAATAAAGAAGTTGAGTACTAGAGTACTGTTCTTGTTTTTTCCTTGGGTGTTTTCTTACAATATGACTGAGAACCATTCTACCTCGTTTTATGCTCCATTTCAAGCAAGTATTCTTGTTAAACGTTGAACCAGATTTGTTACAGACTTCAGGATAGGTATCATCTCCAGGCAATGACATATCAGCGTGTTGCTGAGTACAACATAAAAAGCCAATGTCTGCATTAGGAATTAGTGCAATGGAACACGAATGAATCAACAACTAAAGCAATTGGGTTAGTGAGGATCTGATCTACACACTGAATGCATTGCAGGAATTTTTACTTCTCACCAGCTTCCATCTTGCCCCATGGACTGAATGCCCATCAGCTGCTGGATTACACTGGCATCTGGCATATATCTTTGAGTTTAATTTTATCTGAAAGAAGTCTAGTTTGCGTGCTCTGGGACCCTTTCATGATACAAGCCAAAGGATTGTAAGGGGACAATCAGGAGATTCATTTCAAAAACACACTCCTGATCTGATCTAAAGTACTAAAATAAACACACCCAAAGCTACAGTGACCATCAAAAGAACACACTGGGACATGCAGCTATCCAGATTTCATCTTATAC